GATGACAATGGATTTCTTGAACTAACCAAGAGTAGCTCATAGAAGGGTGTTAGTGCCAAAGGCAGTGAAAATATGATGGTGTAATCTTAGGCCCCGTGATAGAGAACCACAGCGGTACAGCTATGGGGCCACTGACTACAATGAGAATACCAGAAAAGAAGTATTTTAATGCTTTAGCCATGAAAAGAAAGTCACTGGTATATAAATATACTGTGCCTTGAATCCCCCAAATACAGGTTGCAAGAAAAATGGAAAGGGAAGCATATTCTTATATGTGCAGATGGAAAGACATGATTGAAAATACAATATACCCTCTATACTACTTGCAGGAGTAAACAGATTCTAGTGCTGTATTGAAAATGTCACAAAAACGCTTCTCAGTCTTAAATCAGCTTTAAAAATGTGAAAAGCCCCCCCTTTTCTGATCACCTTCGATGCACTGGGAGTTTCATGAAGGTTTTTTGAGTGAAAAAGTGTGTGTGTGTGTGTGTGTGTGTGTGATACATACGGGTCTTTCTTGCAGAATCTTCCACGAAAAGAGAAGAAATGTCTTCATCCACCCCTGCTTCATTCTTCGCAATGCAAGTATATGCTCCTGTATCTTCATACCGCACATTGCTTATGTGGACCTCGCTGCCATTTGCTGAAAAGAGAAGACAAACGCAAGTTGTAAACTACAAGTTCAGTTTGGGTGCGGTGCTTCCTGAGTGCAGTCTGACAGTTTCCTCAGCCTGTCCGAATGAAAGCCCCTTCCTTCCCACCTCCATGCTTTGGAGACCCCCCAAGTTATTCCAAAGCCTTGTGTGTTTCATAAGCTGTGCTGCTGTCACTCAATCAGAGACATTTCAAATGCACAGGATTTAGACTTTAAATCCATTTCTATTTTTCATCTTTTATATGAAGTATGTAGTAATGAAAACTAGATACTTTACATATCTGTACATACATGTACACATTACTCAGATTTCACTGTCCTAAATTTACATAAAAGAAGTAAAAATACCAGCATGGCTCATTTAAAGGGAGAATACCTATGAAAATACATTTTCCTAAAAAGTCGAATGAGCTACACAATGCAAATATATGGCCTTTCTTCAAGTTCATTACTAGAATTATTAAGAGAGGAAATGAGTGGCTTGATCCTATGTAGCTATCTAATTGGGAGTTCTGGACATGTGGAAACCAGAACTAATCACATAAAGTCCTTGCTTACACTATTACAAGGTCTACAATCATGATATTTTACTATATTAGAAAATGATCAAGGTGCACTTCTGTTATCTAGTTGGGATTTCTGGGCATCCAATAAAAATGATGCCATGTGTAGCAAAATAAAATGGTAATTTGTGATAGTTAGGGGCTCACAGGATTGTTTTGGCTGATATTAGGATGATAATGGTTTAATGGTTTAATAATCTATCTG